TAATGTGAAGTATGCAATCATAGGATTTATTCACGCTTTTTTACGCCAGGTTGGGGTAATACACAGATTTTCTGTCATGGTCTACGGACCCCCTGAATTAGCCTTGACCGCCCCTCTATCGTCAGACATAGACCACTCAGTAATATTACACTGGGGCTCATGTTGTTCATAAATGGCACATTAATCACAGAATCAATGAAAACTTCAGGTGGTCACATACTCGTAACTTTCTGATATTCTCTTGAGGAAGGCTTTAGTGAATACAGGCAAACCGCAAAGCAGCACGACTGCTGTAAATGAAGTTAGTGGTGCAATTAATGACTGAGCAGGTTATGAATTATACCAGTTTCTCCCGTAAATAGTGACTTATAGCGTACAGTGTCAAATATTCGTGATTGATAAAAACAGTGCAAACTGTAATTGTGTCAGTAATGCTGTAGAAACTTACCATGTTAAGACCCGAAGTGATCTTGATTATTAATTTAAAAAGACTATATAAAACTCAATCTCTTAAAATTACTAAAATAACATTAGGTATTTTACGTGTCTTCTTCTTCTTCTTCTTCTTCTTCTTCTTTTGTGTTTAATGGCGGTTTGCAAACCAGCTCAAGGTGCATTTCCGCCACCTGCTGGGATGGAGTGTGAGGCCTCGATGAACGAAAATATTATATACTAAAAAAAAACAACTAAATTCTTTTGATCAAATCTCTATCTCTCAAATATCTTAGAAGAAAATTATAAACCCTTAACTGATTCTGTGCATTCTGAAATATATTCTTAACTGAAATGTCACTGATTTCCATATCTCTTAGTTTTTCATCAGGCTGCTTTCTTTGTCTATTATATGCCTCACAATGTAAGAGCACATGCTCAACTGTTTCTGTTATTCCACAGTAATTTCAGCAATCTGACTCACTTTTTCCTATTATATGCAATGAATAAAGCAGGTATCCATAAAAACTCTACTCTTACTCCTGTTTGATTTATTCCATTTAAATTCTGTAAAATTTCATAAAGTATATCCTGTCTAGATGCTGATTTCCCACTATTTAAACTGTTTAATACTGAATATGAATCTGAACAAACTACTACACGTATAGGACTGATTTCTTCCACCCACTGCAATGCCATTAGAATTGCCATCATTTCTGTTGTGAATACAGATACATCGTTAGATAACCTTTTAGCTGTGCTATATTTAAAATAGGGAATATATATGGCTGCTGCTGTATACCCAGAATCCGGATTTTTTGACCCATCCGTATATATTTGAATACTATTAAAATAGTTTTGTTTCAAATATTGATCCACTTCTATTTCTTTAGGCATACACCTTTCCTTTTCATTTATTTTAAAATGCATCTACCATTGGCATGCGGAACAGCCAAGGGGGTATTATTGGTATTGCTACCGTTGAACTTATTTTTATGTCATTAATTCCTACCTTCTTAGCATCTGCGTTGGCATTCCATCCAAAACTACAATAATTTATATACTCATGTTCCCAACATTTTTGTAAAACATCTTTGACTGGATGGGTTTCTACATGCCCCCTCACAGAACACCAGTATGCCATCTTTAGCTTAAGTCTCCGGAGGTCTAAAGGCAACTCCACCTGCATCGCTGAGACTGGCGATGTTCTAAATGCCCCACTTCCTATTCTTAGTGCTTGAGATTGAATACCACTTACTTTCTTCAACATAGATACTGATGCCGAACTATATACTATGCTGCCATAATAATCGTAGGCCTAATCATTGCACAATATACTCTTTTCAATGCCTGTCGGGTTGCACCCCAATCTACCCCCGCCAAACATCTTAAAATATTTATTCCCTTTTTACATTTATCTATTACTTTATTAATATGTGATGCAAAAGTTAGTTTTGAGTCCATCCATACTCCAAGGAACCTAATTTCTGTTACCTGCTCTAACATTTGACCATAAATCTTTTAAATTTAATATTAAATTTAGCATGCTAAATATTTCACGGGCGTCGGCGACACGTCGGCGATTCCCTCAGATCGCGTCTTTGATAATTCTTATTATTATAGCATTATGCCGAGTTCACACTGCACGATATTAGCCCGATTTTTCACTCGCCGACAGGTTTTGCGAAATCGCCGACAAATGCCCGACATCGGAGGCAAATCGGTGCTCGTTCACGCGAGTGACAATCACAGCAGTGTGAATTATCAAAGACGCGATCTGAGGGAATCGC